TGGCCGCACCAATTCGGCGGGCGGAGTCTCCCCTAGCGGCCTTACGCTCCTGCCGGGTGGGTCCTGTGGCAGTCGGCTTACCGGCGCGGGTGACTGAGCAGGGCGGTGGAAAGGGTTTTGCAGAGCGGTTGAGGCTGGGGAGGCTTGAAGAGGATGGGTTTTCGTTCAAACAGAGCTTCATTGTTCGTTCCTATGAGGTGGGGATTAATAAGAGGGCAACCGTTAAAACCATCGCCAATCTCCTCCAGGTCCCCTCCAATGCTCCTTTTCTGTGTAGTTTTTTTCAACGAGTCTGGATCTCTGAATTGGTTTTGGGTTCCGTTGCTTCATGCTTTCATTTCCAGGATGCATTGAATTTTCTAATTTGGTGAACTCGTTTCTGATTTGGATGAAGTTGGTTCTTTTTTAATTTTACTTTTTAGCTTCACTTTTGCTGCATGTTTCGCTTTTCATCATTGCATATTTTACCGGAGATAGAGTTGGATTTCCTCCACTCTCCTTCTGTCTGAAGTTCAAGTTTGTGGCCTTGGAATTGGTTTGGTGGCTCTTTTTTTTTTTTTTTTTTTTTTTATTGCATTTATGTTTTTTTTGCATTTTGTATTATTTAAATTTTAAATTTTAAATTTTAAATTTTTAACTTCGATTTGTCTAATCCTGTTATCCTTTATTGTTGTTATCCATGGCTTAACTCCTTAAAATTTGGATTAACTAAACATATGAGGCAGGGTCCATTTGGGATGGTAGCAGCTGCATGCAAAATCAATGTGGGATTGTGATTGTTTTTTACAGTTTAATTTACATGTTGCTGCCTTCTTCTTTGCTACAACTTTGTTGCTATTTTTCTTAAATTTTACTTGGTGAGAAAGAGCTTTTCACCATTGTGGACTAAAAAAGTCAGCTGTCATCCAACTTGTTTTTGAAAGGAAAATGCCTATAATGCTACAATAATTGTTAAAAGGAATGCTTTTACCACAATGATTTTACAGTTCGTTTATTCACTGTTATTGCCATCCCAAACAATCTAATTGTGTGAATAGTAGTATATATATTTTTCATTATTGTGGTTGTGTTAGATTTTTCTAAAATCTAGAAAATCGGACAACTAGTGGATCTGATTATGAATACTAGTTCCCATCATAAAAATTTTGAAAATATATATTTATATATATATTATAGTTTAAAAGTAAATGTGTGTAGAGGCTATCTCAAAGACACCCTAGAGGTTCTAATATTGTGAAATTAAAAGTGCATGATGGTATAACCATATAGTTTGCTAGAGTAAGTTATGTATCAAATTTAAAGAAGAATTTAATATTTTTAAGCAATATTATTATCACAACATACAAATTCTGTGGTAATATTGACATTTGACACTCATAAGGTCTTGAAGAGCCTATTAATTGGCTTAAATCAAACAGAGTTAGGGGACTCTACATTGTTGCATGTTGATCTATTGTTTTTAACAAATATTGTGGCAGGTGGCAACCTGTCATGGAACGAAAATGATTTAAGAATATGACATAAAATATAAAAATATGGGAGTTGTTGTGAACATTTTCTATAAGGTAGAACTTCCAAAGTATTGATGGGCATTGTATGCTAGGGAAAAATCAAATTAAAAGAGCAACATGATAATTACAAAGTTTGGTCAGTTAGCTTCCAATAGATTAAGGTGGCACAAAGTTTTACAATTATTTTATTCATAATTATTAAGCTTGTAAATTGAAAATTTTGACTTCAAATGGGAGAATATAATCTATTTATTTTTATAATTATTTTAGATAATATTTAATTATAGTTTTTAAATGTTAAGGGCCATCACAACATTCTAATTAGTGGATACCAAAAAGTCCTAAATTGAAGCTATCATAAAGTGTAGAGTGGGGGCTACAAAAATATTTAATGGTGGTTGATAATTAATCTTAGAAAGCAAAGATTTCACTATATAAACTCACATATTCTTCATTTGAACAACATTCACAAGGAAAAGTAATAAAGAGATGGGAAGAATTGGAAAAGAGAAGAGGGGTGTCATCGAAGAATGAAAAGACGAAGCCTTCAGGGCACTTCTTCTTCAAGAAAGAAATTTTCTTTTAACTACACAATGTGTTATCCTTGTCTCTATCTAATTTTATATGATGTGTAATTTCTCATGCATTTTTTTTTTTGAAGTTTAATGGGTTATTTGATCTATTTGAGGCTATGATTACTTACAGGGGTGGGTCCACTTACAATTCAATGCAAGCAATTTCACACCCTTAAGATTATTTTTCTTGCCTTCTTTAAAATGTAATTTCTTTTAATATTATAGGATTCTCTATTTTATTTTGCCACCTCAATAAATTAATATTTCCAAAAGTAAGGACAAAAATTAACTTTTTATTTTCTTACCCTCAAAAGAGAGGTTGGTTCTGCTTTACTTACTTGAGCCGAGCTATATAAATTCATTGCTCCTGCGCTTAGATTTAGGGTTTTGTATTTCCTAACATAATGGTTTCTATTGATAGAACAACAAAGCAACCCATATATATATATATATATATATATATATATATATATATATTCTCTGCTAGTCATTTTATGGTCTTTACAGAGGAGAATTTTAATTTTCTTTTCTGATCAAAGTTGTTTTTATGTTTTCACAAAATCAATATAGGAAGTTGGTTGCAATCATTTACGGAGTGTTGGGTTTTCTACCGATGGTTTTGCCACAACCACCATCATGAGAGAACTTCGTCTTATATGGGTCACTTCTCGTTTGCACATTGAAATATACGAGTATCCTAAATGGTACGCAGTTGGGTTTTATCAAACTTGACTTACTTGTTCTTTGTTCTATGTTTTGAAGCTGTTATGTATACCTTGTTTTAGGGGTGATGTTGTTGAGATTGAAACTTGGTTCCAAGGAGTAAGAAGAGTTGGCAATAGGCGTGATTGGATTCTCAAAGATTTGGCTACTGGTTTGGTTATTGGCAGAGCTACAAGGTACCTCACCCAATAAATCTAACATTTTGTGACCTTTTTATACTTCAGTCATATCTTGAGTTTACAAACAGTGAGATAATTGGTCAAATTAAACAATTTTGGGCATGGATTTATTTCAATGTTCATGGAATAAAACGGTTCAAGCTCTTAAGCCTATGGATGTTAAGCTCATGATCAATGATTGTTTATTTTAATATGGATCACGTGATTGGCTTGCATTAACCTTTTATGGTAAAGGGTTCATGCTGGTCAATCATGAATTTCTTGGTTAGAAAGTGGGTTAATGGAATCGAAGAACATTTTTTAACTGAATTAGCCTTGTTTTTGTGGTATTACCCACCACCTTCCCGAGTAGTTCACATCACAAAGGTTATCTATTGAAATATGATACTGTAAGGAAGAAACTTTATTATAGAAAAAAAAGTTGTTCCTTTAAGTTCATTTTGATGCACACTCTTTGATGCAGCAGAATACTGTCAAGTTAATGATACTTATTGTAGAATCCAAAGACATTAGTGTGGATAAGAAGATAGTCATCTCTGCAAGCATTCCATGACTAGAATATTTTTTATGTTTTCATACAAATGTTGAAATTTTATTTTGTTATTTCCTCGGTATTCTCTTTTTCTTTTATTTGGTTATGTCAATTTTGCAAGGGTGGGAATAGAGAAATAAGTCGTATGTATGTTTTACCACTTTTCATTTTAAATTTAATGCTACGCATCAATTATTTTATGAGAAGTAGCATTAATGTCATTTTGATCATTTGGAGGTAAATTTGTCATATCGTTCTAGGGCTCCTAAAAGATGTTTTGGGAGTGGATTTAGAGGAGAGGAGGTTGTATAATAACAAATAAATGATAGTATGCAAGGGCTTGGAGGAGGATAAACAATGAGATCTGCTATTGAACAATAGATTTACGTTGTTCGACGACTGTTCCTGTGAGACTAACGACAAGAATGGCATGGTGTAGGCAGCTTGGAGGTTCAACACTTGTTCTCGAGGAAGATACAAACACCACTTGCAAAAGAATACAACATTTCTAAAGAAGAAATTAAGACAATACATTCTCCATAATACTCAAACAGAGTAAAGTCTTACTCCTGAAAACAATAACACAAATTGTTTCCTAGTAGAAAATAACCTAATTTGAAATAGAGAAATAGGAAATAAAAAAATAATAAATAAATGAATAGAAAAAAATCAAAAAGGAAAGAAATATGCTAAAAAGAGGAAATTTTGAGTTTCTTTGTTGGTTGAACTATAGCCGAATTGCGGCTTATCTCACGATCCTGCGTTCTGCGGTCCTCGGTCTGTGGAATTGAAGAGTTCCGCAAAGCAGATGCTCTATATCATTCTCTTGGGCTGGGAGAAGCTTCTTCTTCTATGGAAAGAGCTGGTTTCCACTATCAGATTTTTTTTATCCACAAAGCGTCTAATGAGATATCTAAAGCTACGTTTCACTTCTCTTGTGTAACCATCTGTCGATGGGGGCATTACTGAACTAAACTAAAATTTAGCACCCAGCTTACTCCATAGATCTTTTGGAAATCGCTCAAGAAGTAGTCATTTTTGTTTGAAGTGATGATATGTTGGAATGCTCTCAATAGTGACAACCTAGAGGGTAAACTAAAGGTAAGAAAATCTTGTAACTCCTTTAGTGAGGGGCACATTGCCTCATATATCATCTCTTTCATGAACTGTCTTCTAGAATCACCAAAGTTAGTTGCACTCGTGTTTCTCTTTATCTGTGGGAATGTGGCATAAACCACTAAAGTTTTTGCCTCTGTTTGATTTCCCATCACGACAAACTCTTTCAACGGCAAAAGTGCAATATGCTTCCCGTTCTCGATAAATGAGTAGATGTTTTTGCACTCATCATGAAGTGTAACCCTATCATATTGTCACAATCGACGCAAAATAATGTGATATGCATCCATAGGCACGACATCACACCAAACATGATCTTGCAGTTTGTCTCCCACAAAAAAATTCCACAATACATCTCCTATCATCTATGATCTTATCTTTTTTCCTTAATCACAAAAGAGAATATGTTTGGGAATTCTTTTATGTAGCGAGGCTTAATTTATCCACCATATTATAGATGTCACATTCACACAATTGCCTTCATCTATAATGAGGTTGCACCTTTTTTAGCCACAGTGACGATTAATAGGTAAAATGGGGAATTGACTATTAGAGTTAAAGATCAAGAGGTGACATCTAATGTTTTGAAATCAATTAAATATCCCACGACTAGTGATGATTGATGTTATAGGCTAGGCTTGGTGAATGAGTTAATTAATAACTAATTTATGGATACTTTTGAGGTTGATCCAGTAGAGCATGGATTGATTGAGTAATATAGTTAAAACCCAAAGAAGGATCTACTCTACTATTAAATGCAATCCTTAGAGTGATTAGGGATGAGTTTAAAGTCTTAGACATCTCAACTACTGCTAAACCTTTAGTACCTTCCATTGTTGAAGCAACAGAAATAGAACAAAATTCACCTTAGACACCTAAAATATGCATGTTTGGGAGAATTTTCAACTTTGCCCATTATTATTTCCTATGAATTACCATATATATCAAAGACAAATTTAATGAAAGTACTGAGGAATTTTAGGAAAGTTTTTGGGTGGACAATAACTAATATAAATGGTGTAAGCCCTTGACTTTGTATGTATAGAATTTTGATGTAAGAAAATCACCAACCTAAAGCTGATCTCGAGAGAAGGTAAATCCTGTTATGAATGAAGTGGTGAAGGAGGAGATATTAAAGTGGTTAGATGTAGGAATAATCTATCTAATTTCATACCGTATTTGGGTCAACTCTATACATTCTTCGTAGAAAGAAAACTAGTTCTCTCCCATAAGCTCCATGCCCCTTTTGATCGAAATGCTCATGATTCAGTCGCAATTAGAGCCAACAAGGAAACCAAAGACGGGGCTGCACATATAAAAACCTTCAAAATTCCCATCCTCTATCTCTCCCAGCTTTGTCGACGCACCAACGTGCACAACATAATCCTTGCTTCTTTGTTTGCATCTTGTCACGATACAATCACAACTAGAGTTAACGGGGAAAGCAGAAACCAGATCGCAAGATACAAAGACCTCTAAAACACTCGTCTTTCTCTCCTTATGCATCATTTCTATCATGATGCAGTTGCGGCAATTGCTCGTTGGAAAGGCAATAACAAGATTACGACATGCGAAGATTTTCAAAACTTCCAATTTTTTTGTGCACCTGCCTGCCTTCTTCTCGTGCTCATCTTTTTCAATACAGTTGCCATAGAGCAACTTGAGAAGGCAATGAGGGGATCTTTACATAAAAAAACTGTCGAAATTCCAAATTTCCCCACTCTTTGATCCGAGCCTGTTGCATGTACCTTCTTTCTATGTCGCACAACTTGTCAGCCCTAGCCACAGGAACTGAAGACCAGGTTGGTTTTCTTCCTCCAACTCGAAATCTCGCCTCCTTCGCCAATGTTTGCAAAATAGAATCCCAAACCTCCCTTCCTTTTTTGTGATCGCGAGCTTTGCAACACAATCACGACTAAGGCTAATGAAGAAAGCAATGATGGGATTACGACGTACAGAGACCTTCCAAACTTCTGTCCCCAGATGGAAACGAAGCTGCATCTCTATTCTTGTCGTCCTGCTTGCTCCCATAAGCCACAAAAACTTCAAACTCTTCTCAGTTTGCTTGTCGTTTAATTCAAGCATGTTAGAGCCTGCGAGGAAGCAACGAGGGGGTTATGACATGAGAGAAACTTCCATCTTTATCTCCTTCTATTCATTGGTTTACCGGAATAGAATGCCTCTCCGCATTAAGCTTGAAGAATCCCTTCTTCTCCTTGTCTCGTGTGATTTGTCGTTTTAGATAAAAATTTATTACCCGCTCTTACACTTGTCTCAAACCTTGAAACCAATTACTCAAATGATCCCAAATTTTTTTATGGTATAGTTGTGCAAAATATATAAAGTTGACTTCACTATGCGACGGTGCCAATAACTTGATGCTCTAAATATAATTAAGAAATTTAAGCAATTAATGTTGGGATTCTACGCAAGTATAGTCATCGTTATAAAGTAATAAAGAACTTTCTATTTAAGTCCCGAATATCGATCCTACGAGGAAAGTTTAAATTTGAGATGATAAATTTACTAGGAAATTCACAGAAAGTAAAACGAAATTACTGTCACTAATTTTGAATGTTGAGATATTATCAAAATGTTATCAAAGCTAAATTATTTAACTATGAGCAAATTGCAATGTAAAGTTTAAACAGTAACTACTAAACTATTTAATTATGTTTATGTGATGAAGATTTCTTATATGAAAAAACATCTTTCCCACTATAATGAGATTTTGGTAAAATGAGATGAGACAAATGGTTTAATATGTATTGTGCCAAATAAGAACAATTTTAATTCTCTACCATGATACAGTGTTATAGAAAATCATTGGCTAATCCCATGTTTAGTCCTTAAATCCGTGGCTAGGCTAGGAGGATACTAGCTCCCACTTCCCTTTACCTGAAGGCTAACTCTCGCTTTTGCTTTTAAATACTATGACAGAATTGAAATTTTAATCTGTGATCCTAAAATCTTCAATTTTACACCCAACAATGTATATTTCTCTATTATTTATACTTAATTTCATGAAATGAAATCAAATGTGATCCTCACTCTATTGTATAACTCATACTCCATTTCTCGGATCATATGTTTCACAACACATTTTAGCAATTGGCCAGATCGAAAAGTAAATTAAGTTCGGAGTTAAAAAATCATCACAATTTATTTTACAATTTAATATTGATACATTCATATTATCTCTTCATTTCACCATATCTCAGAGTAGGGAGAAAGGTAGAGAGAACTACTCTGACTTCATGAGAAAGAAATAACAAAACACAAATTTCATATATAAATGAAAATTCATAAAACATTAATAAATAAACAATACTTATCTGAAACTCTTTCTCAAAACAAATCCCTTGTAGCATCTCCTAAGAAATGCTGGAAGAAGAAATCTCACTTTTCTTCTTCTCCAACACTCTTAAAAAAGAATTCACACTAAATCTCACCATCAAAACTTT